GGTTTCTTCAAAAATTGAGTATGTTGTAAATTTTCTCTTCTAAAAGTCAGAAACATTTAAAATTTTTATCATAGGTAGACCTATTTATCTAGATATTGTCCTATAAATATTAGTTTCTTAGCTGTATCTATCGTTCACGTTAGTCTTATGTAGTTTGTGTAGAAAAATTTTTGTTTTTATCATTTTTTGAGTTGTAGTATTTCCATTAGAAGTTAGAAATTTTATTTCTTAAACTTCTTTCTTAAACTATCTTTTTTGGGGTCTTTATTTCTTGAGTTGATACACAGTGAAATTCTTAACCAAATTTAGGTTTTTTGTTTCTGCAGAAAACTATTTTACAGAGTAATTTGTTTGTGTAAGAAGTTTTTTTCGAATAAAAGACGTTTTCTTCTTCTTAACCGAGAAGTCTCTACACGGTGTAAGAGAGGTATGATTTAGTCTAATGATAATCTCCGCTAGACTGAACTTCGAACATGTCATAGATCAAAAACTAGAATTAACTTTGAAGTTATTGATAGATATAGACTGCATCAAAAAACTTCCGTGCTATTCATTCCTATATAAAATCGTATAAATGAGTGGTACATGAAACTAACAAACTAAACATTTTAGTGTCATATTTACACTACTAGGTATACTTGTGCAAAAATGAATTCCTAATCTTAACGACTGTTTATGGTTGTCTGATGAATTTTTCGGTTCTTGAAGCAGAAAATTAGAAAAACATACATGACTTTTGAAAGAAGAGTCATCCTGAAGCTTTTTACTAGTTTAGTTCATATGTATTCAAACAAATGATATGTAATGAGTCGAAACGGAAGGCGTTGTCTGGAGTGATTCTTTTGTTAATTAGTTATTATTAACAGTTATTTTTCATTATCTTATTATTTTCCAAACATGGTTATTTAATAATTTGATGTAAAATTTTCAATAGTATTTGATTTGGTTATTTTTAAAGTTTAGCAGAAGCAGAGGAAGAAAAAAATATATAATTGATGTCTTTATAATTTAAACAGTCATGGAGTAAAAGGATTTTCTAAAAAGTTGCTATGGTAAACATTTTTATAAAGATCATGGAGAATCTGCTGAAAAAATAGAGAAATTATTTTTCTGCATTTCATGAATTCAGCAATCAAATTAATTCTATAGCTAAGAGAATAAGTTTTTCTCTTTCTGATATAATTATAATTCTTCTTTTTGAAATAGATTTTTCAATAAATACTATAAAATTCTATGCTTTTTTCTACCATCATTATAACTTACGCTTGAAAAATAAATAACTAGATGAAAGACATTAAAGATATGACGGCACTTTTTATTATTAATGTTCACTTAAAATGAATAAATACAGTTCTACATGATTAGACGTCTTTTTTTCAACAAATAGAACGTGTATTATATAGTTTCTTATTGTCTAGTTATTATTCAAGACGCTTTGTATTTATATGTTCAATATCAAACTGAATAGAATAAGTTACTTTTTTTTTTGTATTAGTTAAATTAGACATTGCTCAACATGCAACTATAAAGAACTACTACTTTCATGTCTTTAGAATCACATCAATTGAAAAACTATATTTTCAATAATGTCAACGCCACTTGCTCAAGCTCAACGAGTTATGTCTTCATATGGTTTGTCAACATTTTATATTCTTGGTACAATTGGTAATTTTCTATTGATTTGTATTCTTGTACAACGTACTCATCGACAAAGTTCATGCTCATTATATTTACTTTCAGCTACAGTTGTTAATTTTATTCTTATACAATGTATTTTACCATTAGGCATCTATTCTGCAGATCATAATGATCCACAAAATGTTATACTTATTTGGTGTAAAATTCGTAGTTATTTATTTAATGGTCTTCTTATGCTTTATCGTTGGTATAAAATGGCAGCTTGTATTGATCGTGCAGCTATGTGTAGTCGTCACGCATGGATACGATCATTTAGCAATGTTTCAGTTGCTTATCGAGCTATTTTAATTATAACAATTGTTTGGCTGTTAATACCTATTCATTTAGCTGTCTATTTTCGAATTGAATCTGGTCGTTGTGTACCACAATCAGGTGATTATGCAAGGTTTTTTAGTGCATATTCAATTATAATATCTGGTTGGTCACCACCTACAGTAATGGCAATATTTGGCTTTATGGCATATAAAAATTTAAAAAAAGTACGAAGAAAATATATGTAAAATTTCATAATTATATTTGTTATTTATTATAGATAAGAACACAAGTTATGCCGCAAAACACTACCGGTCGTATTAATGGTGATTATCCAAGTAATTCAACTAGAAGAACAATAAATAATCGA